GCTCGGGGGGTGAGGTTAGGGGTGTCGCCCGGCCGGCACCCCGGGTAAACCCAGCGCTCTTGTTTAAACCCAGCTGCGGCTTACACGCTGGACGACCGGCGCGCGATGGTCTCGCCTCCCTTCTCGGGCAGAGAGCTTGCCCTCCGAGTACCTCCTGAAGGCAGATGTGGCACGTCTGCTCTACTGTAGCCTACAGCGGGCCCAGTTCTTCTCTGCTGCTTGGGCGTGGAGCCAAAGAAAACACAAGCTGCGTTTATATTGAGATACCTCAGTTAAATTCGGCTTTTGTATTAAACTTCTCTAGGATTAAATAAAAACTTACTTTGTGTAATTAAAAGAAAACTAGAAATATAATCTAGTTTAAGAAGTTCGGGGGAAAATATATTTGCAAGTCCAGCTGACCTGTCAGGTCTGGAGGGAAAGGGCAGCAGCAAGAACAGGCTTGTGAGAACGTCTCCGTTACAGTGTCACGGTGCGGGCACGTTCTCGCAGAATAGTAACGTCATGGCGGTCGTTTGGCCGTTTGCCGTCTGCTTTGCTGTTCCTAGCCTCGCCGTCTCATGTGCAAAAAGAGATTTGGTTTCTACAAAACTTCATGTGTGTGCTCGACTTGCATGTTTTGCTCGTGTTTGTCAGCAAACCTTCCAAGTGTGAGTGAAAACATGTCAGCCACAGACTTCCCAGTGTTTTCAGCGCTAGTGCAGCCTTTTTTTCCCGTGTGTATTTCCCGTGTGCTGTAATGCTCCTGGTCAGCGCCTCTTCCTGCTGCTGTTCCCCAGCAGCACACCCACAAGGTGCTCTGAGCTCCTGCAGCACCCCAGCTGCTGCCGTATCCCTAGCACGGCCGGGGCACACGGCCGCGTGGATGGAGCGGGACGTCTGCTCCCCGGTTTGCTGGCTTTGCCTTGCAGCGTGGAGGAGGTGCGGACTCTGCCCTGCTTTTCCCTGGGGACAGACATGAATCTGTGTCGCTTTTTTCTTATCAGTTGCTGTTGCTCACAGAACTGGTGGGGCTCTCCCGTACCCGACCTCATCCCCCTCTGACAAACTGGGCGGGAATTTCAGAGCTAGCGAGGGGAACAGTGACAGGCTGTGCCAATGTTTTTTTTTCTGCAATAGGATGTGAACTGAAGGCTAGAATGACTGAGAAATGTAGTGACTGAGAGAAACGACCGTACCTGACATAGATTCTAGTCTTCCACGTGGAGCCAAACAACTTTGCACACCCTACAGTAAAATCACGAAGGCCGTTGGTGTTTGGGGGTATGCTGGGGCAATCTCATCCTTGGGGAGGCTAGGAAAAAAAGACGCGAGCAGAAGTGAATTGTATTTAAAGTGGGAGTCAGCATTGTCCAGCTGCGATACTTACAGCTGCCTTGGCCCTGTGGACAAATGGGAATGACCACTTCACTGCTGCTCTGAAAGAATGCAGAATCATTTGTAGTACGTGTGAGAGACGGTTTGTGGTTTGGAGTTGGCATGAGTACTGGCTACTGGTAGCACTTGTTTCTGGGTAGGGGAGGGCCTGGGGCACTGAGAGTGGCTGTAACAGTCTTAAAGCATGAACAGTTCTTTAAACTTTTGTTCCAGTTAATTTTTATAGAATTGAATCTTTAGTAAAGAAGGGGGCTTAGACACTTGTTCGCCTCTGCAGTTAGCCCATTGGAGGGCAAAGCCATGTATTGAATGTGGAAGCAGAGAAGTCCAGGGTGCGTGATGCCATAAGCTGCTTTCGTCTCCTCTGGGTACAATATCTTACACTTTGAATGGAAAACTGAGTGTTCAGTGTGTTAAATTTTCACCTGTTAATTGTATGATGCTTTAAAAAAAAGGAAACATAGTAAATGCCAAAATCTTTCTTGTGCTTTGTCTCCTCAGGACGAGTTTTTAGATGTGATCTACTGGTTCCGGCAGATCATTGCAGTTATTTTGGGAATCATCTGGGGAGTAGTTCCACTGAAGGGATTCGTGGGAATAGCAGTGTAAGGTTTATTTCCTTTTCTGTCTCATGTACTTTCCCACATTTGGACTCTACTTGGTGTCTGGTTTAAAGTTGTGCTATAAACAAACGCAGTCTCTGTCTGCCACGCGTCTTAAAGCCAGCGTTGCATTCCAGACTGTTACTTGTCATGAAATTCATACAAATCGTAACATGTCTTCATCAGCCTCTTTTTCTCTCCTCAGCCTGATTAATGCTTTTTAAAATTATTATTTATTTTATTATTATTAAAGGGGGCAGGGGTAGAAGAAGGGAGCGAGAGGTTCAATTGACTTGTGAAGTGGCCTGTTCCTGCATGTGTGAATAGGGGCTATGAGTAAGGTGGCCACACTAGGCACCAAGGAAGTAAGGCCCATAGAGGGGAAGGTGTGGTAGTCCTTCTCTTTGAGTCGGGAGCCCTCCTCAGAGCAGGGAGGAGGTTCTGTTAGTAGACAAGAGGGGCAGCTTCTCTTTGAAAAAGAAAAGGTTTCTTCAAAACACCAAAGACTGTAGGTAACAAGCAGGCAAAGTGGCACTGTTGGCAGTGCTCCTGCAGCACGCCCAGCTTGCTGAAGTTGTTCTTTCAGCCATGGTGTCGGGGGAAGGCAGTGCCTAGAAGGGTATGTACGCATCGGTTCCCCACCGAGACACGGGATTCAGGTCATTTCCCAGCAGGTGTCCGAAGGCTGCAGTGAGCACTCTGAGTTATGAAATGAAAATTTGTTTGGCCCTGGCACGTGCCTGAAGGCCTCTGGAGGGTCACGAGAGATGGGACACACAGCCCTGCTCTCTGAACACCGGGTGTGGGAAGATGCTGTGTCTGCTCTGGGGACTCTCCGTTTGCAAACGTCTCTGCCTAGTCAAGGTCTCCTAGTCAAACTCACAACCTCACAGCTTTTCTTAGGCAAAATTGACTTGTCATCTTGTCCCTCCTCCTGAGTGTCCTGGCTGTGGCAAGAAAGTGGAGGGAGTAGGAGCAAGTGTCTCTAAGGGGGGAAAAAAAAAGTTTGAAATTTAGGGAAAAGGGGTTGTAAAGCAGCGATGCTCCAACAGGAACTTGGTAACTACATGCAAACAGTTAAATCTAAAGTGCTCCCAGTAACGTGGAGTAGCTGAGAAGCATTGTTCTTACTTAGTCATCCATTAATTCACAAGGCACCTTCAGGCACCTTAAGCCAATTCCTGTGCTAAATGTTAGTAAGAAATAAACGTGATTTGGTGTACAGTGGAAAAACAAAAAGCTTCTAGACCTGTGTGCGTGGTTTCTCTGTGGTATACAGTCGCACAGCTGCTCACAGCTTGCTGCCAGTCACTGAACTTGTGTGTATGTCTTCCCGTATTGCCCTTTCTACACAGCCTTCTTTCCAGGAGATGTACCCGTCACTTCCCAGGTTGCCCCAGCCCTGAGTTGGGGTGGTGTAAAGCCAAATGTGTCTAAGGACAAACAGGAGGTCACGTTTTTTCTCTCTGTTGCAGCGTAACTGTTGGCACAGACTAGAGAGTGCCAAGAGTTGTCTCAAGTTGAATCCCAGTGCTATGGCTCTGAGGGCGCTATCGAGTCTTCTCTGGCTCCCGTCTCTAAGTCGCTGTGTTTGGTCATGGGAAGTTAACAGGGATCTAACACTGAGCATAGAGTCTAACAGTCTTCCCTCTTAGCAGCCTCAAAATCAAGTAGCACACACAAGGAAATTGGATTCTGTGTGGGAGCAGGACTGCTGCTGATCTGCAGGATAGGAAAACTTGCAGATCTGTTGATACTTGCAGCTTTTGACTACTGTCTGTGGAGCCTTACTAGGAGTAGGTTGTGCCATGTGAGGTGAACTTCATCCAAACCTAGCGTGCTATGGCAAGGTGGTGCTCTTTTAAGGAAGTGACTGAGCTGCCTGGGAAGCACTGCAGGAACAGTATTCCTCTCTGCTTCCTCTCTGCTGCGTATGAAAGACATTTCACTGCTATGTTGCTGTACGGCATGTTGGATACCTGTACCCTGTATCACCAAAATGACGGTTCCTACTCTCTTTCTTCCAGATTCTGCCTGATCAATGCTGGTGTTCTGTACCTCTACTTCAGTAGCTTCCAGCAGATAGATGAGGAGGAGTATGGCGGGACGTGGGAGCTAACAAAGGAAGGATTCATGACATCTTTTGCACTGTTTCTGGTAATGCCTCTTGCTTTCTTTAAGTTGATGAGTGAATTGTGTTGGTACACTTTCTGAGGGGAAAAGACCTGGAAGAAAAGCAGGTGAGGTGGTGCACTGATAGTGTTATCATCTAATAAGTGGAGTTGATTGGGAAAGAAAATCCCAAAATATAATGGCTGCTGGCTATGAAATATGGTATTAATGCCTGGGATTTCTCTGTAGGAGAGGATGTAGGAACAGGCAGCTATACTTCTGCATCTACCACTTAACTTTTATGTCTTCCCATCCTCTGTCCCAGATATCCTGGTGGAGTTTCATCTAGAGCTAGTTACACCCAAACTGGTGTTTTAGGTGTCTTTGTTTTTCCCTTACTCCCCTCCCCCCAGGGTGAATATGCTCAGCACTTGGTTTGGTGGTGTTTCTAAATCACTGGCGGGACTGTGGTGGGATTTTAATGTGGAGAGGGGCTAGTCACCCCAGGAGGCAAGCAAGTTGAATGCCACCGTTTGTGGCGCGTGGTGATCCTAACATCTCTCCGAGACCACCTCAAAGCTGGAGTTCAGTCCCCAGTCCTGTATTGAAAGCAAGGCGTGAGGCTTGTTTTCTGTGTCTGAACCCTCTCCAGGGGCATCAAAATAACCTTGGCTTCCTTTCCTCTCCACAGGTTGTTTGGATAATCTTCTATACTGCCATCCACTATGATTGACACAGTCTGCAGCTTTCACCTGTTAAATCAGTTGTCAGTAAATCAAGAAGGTTTTAATAAATCATAGTCTTTAGTGGACTGGTGGGAAGGTGGGGGAAGTCAAATCAGCTCCCTTCTGTACCAGTGGTCCGATTAGCCTGGAAGAGCCCCAACTCTTCTGCTGGAGAAGTGCATCTCCGTTTTATATACCCATTAATTGTTGGAACTATTAAAAAGCCATTGGAATTTTTGGAAGTGGTTCAAGACTGTTCAAATTTGGAACCTTCTGTGACTCTAGCCAGTAACTCTATCAAAATCCTGTGTGCTGAAGGTTGAATCTGTTAATTTAATGTATGTATGCCCTTCTGTTTGAAATCTGTCATTAAATCCTGACTTGTCTTCCATTGTTGTCCTTTAGACACAGAGTTTTTAAAAAGCAGTTGTAGGGTACGTGGGAGGAAGGCACTGCAGCATCCATATGAGTTGAGCGGCTGTCCTTAGCATGTTTTTGTAGTAATCAGATCTGATTTGATTAAACAGACTGTGTTGTTACCATTTCTAGTATTTTTTGTTTTACTTGAAAATCAGTTGTTGACCAGAATTTTTAAATGGTCTTTGCCGAAGACAAATTTTTAAGCCATTTTGCTGGAAAGAATTGTGATTCATTTGGTTAACGAAGGTGTGTTCAGGAGGCTTAGAAACTCCGCTGCATTCTGCAACCCTGACTACTAAGTTGCCACTGCATACCTCAGAGCTTAGTAGTCTTGAAGGACAGTCATTCTGGAGATACCCTTTTAAATGTTAAGCATTTAAATTTTTTAAGCTCTTGAATTAACTGCTCCTTGTTAATAAATGCAGGAGACTAAGACACAATTGAGGCAGCTATTATCTTAAGTGCAGAATTACTGACTTGCAAATCAGGCAAAGTACATAGCCTCTGGTTTGTGAGGTCCATTTTATGAGTTGATCACTTCATAGCTCGGTTCCTCCCTAGTCATATCCTTTTTGTGCATCAATGGGGGAGTCTCTGCTTTAAGATATTTTTAAGGATGCGTCTTTCAGAAATAGTTCTTGGGAAACACGCACAGTCCTTGTTGTTGTCAGAGGACCTTGTAGTCTTGTTGCCGTGTGGTCCTTGCTTTTCTAAACAACAGCTCAGGCACCCAAAAAGAGTCCTGACCTAAAGCTGCCTTACAGTGAGGAGTTGATAGTTTTAGCGTGTTCTTGCTGAAAGTCTGCGTTGCTTCCTTGCTGATGGAAGTCCAACAGCCTGGTTCTCACATGTGAGTATGCAAAGCCAAGGATCTAAATCTCTAAGTGCTGAGCTAGGGCTCCAGAATCGCCCACCGGTGCAGGCCTCCATTCTTACCATGGAAAATGCTGTCTGTTCTTGGTGGAAAAAACACACCTGGCTATTTTAGGTCCTTGGGATGCCAAGGGGAGAGTGCAATAGCAGACAGCTTCTGCTACGTGTGAGTTGCCAATTTAAGTAAGTGATCTTAAATAAAAACTTCTATGTTTTCTCCTCCCCATCCCCAAACTTGCTCAGTCTTTTAGTCTGATACTTTCTTTTCCTCTTCTTTCAGCTGAAAGCATTAATTTCCCACAAGAATTGCATAGCCTGCTAGTTCTAGGTCACCCTTTCCCACTGGCATCTGTTTGCATCTTAGCTGCTGACAGCCATCAGTAAAATCATTGTATACTTGAAATGCTCTAATAAATGTCGCCTGGATAATCCACTGTGCTGCTTCTGTATCCTCTGGTCTTCGAAGTTATGTAAAATGGTGCGAGTGTGGGACTCCTTTAAGAGTTCGATTTTTGGTAAATATCTAAGCCAGCAGCTCTTTGGGATTCTCAGGTCTCTTGTGCTGCAGGCTTGAGTCCTGCACTGGTAGAAGGGGCCAGAAGCATTTGTAGTGGAAGTAGTAGCTAATGCTTAGATCCATGCTTTAATGGGTGATTAAGCAGGTTAAGCCAAGTGTTGCCTCTGTGTAAGCCGGTCTGCTCCTTCAGCAGCTGTCCCTGCCCCGTGACATGCCATCGTGGCAGAGCCACTACTGTGTCGCAGAGTGCCCAAGTCTGGTCCAGAGCAGGACTTCAAGCGCTGCTGTAAAACGTGCAGAGTGAGAGTGCAGAGCTGGAGAGTCGCTTACCTGCCCCTTTGCTTTATTCCTCGCTTGCCTGCAGTCCCACCAGCTGAGTTTCTTCGTCTTTGCAGTTCTCTACAGTTCTAGTGGCTGGAAGCTGAGGCAGAACCTGAGTTGAGGAGGATCCTCTGTTGAGGAGGATCACGACCATGCGGAAGAGACATTGGTCTCTGGATCTCTGCAAGGCTCCTGGTAAATAAGGTAGTGATTGCAGTTGCTCAGCTGCAAGCTTTTAATCTCTTAAGGTTTCTGTTTTAAGGGGTGCCTCAATGGCTAGAAGCAGGTATCCCCAGTGCTGATCACCAAGAGAACTAAGGCTATGGCATCTGCCCCCAAAGAAATCAGGTTAATTTTAAGAAGCTCAAGGGGATGTGGCAGCCTGTAGAATGGAGCTGAGCATCTTACAATGATGAGAACTGTAAAAACAAGGGGTTTGTGCAGAGACTTGAGAGATTGACACAGGGGTGGTCTAGCAGAGAGCATGAAGTTGAGTGCTAGGAGGACAGAAGAGCAGCAGCTGACAGGATAGGGACTGCAGTGGCGGGAACAGGGGCTTGGGCAGCACCTCTGTCCTCAGCAGTTTTGGTATTGGCACAACGAGCATGCTTGCTCTGCACTCTCCTCTCAACAAAGGGCAGGGGACTAAACCAATGGCTGGTGTGGGGTCTATGCTCCCGTGGAGCAGCGACTCAGGGAGAAAAAGGTCTTTCCTGTGCTGGAGAGCGGAGCTGTGGGAGCCACAGCTGTCGGGATGCTGTTCCGCCAAGAGGCTGCATCCCTATGGGGTCTACATGATGGTGCAGAGAAGAGGCTGTACTGTCTGCAGGCTCTGTGAAGCTCGCTGCTAGCTGCAGAGCTGGAGGAACATCACTTTGGCTTTCAGCAAAAAGAAGCCAGTCCCTGGCAGGAAGGAGAGCGAGATATTCCCTGGCCTAACCTCATTGCGAGGAGAGGAGCAAGCGTGTTCTGGTGCAGAACTGACAGAAATTTCTTGGGGTCTTTCTTGGGCTTCAAGCATAATAGCTGTTAAAACTTTAATGCAAGTTATTTTTGGTGTCAAAGGGAAAAATGGTGTGGGTGCAAAGATGTGCTAACAGGTGTTGAGAGGTGGCTGTGCGGCTAGGCGTCTTGTGTCTTGGCAGCATCAGACCCCAGCTAAAACAGCTGCTGCCCGCTGCAGGGTAGCTCTGCAGCGGCGATGGCTGAGCATGCAGCATGGTGTGTATTTGTTACCTGTGGTTTTGGTCCAGCAAGGGAATGTTGCTGATGTCACTTGTCTTTAACAGTGCTTGGGATGTCCTTAAAACGAGTGGTGCCTGTTGGGGCTGGGAGCATGCCACTGAAGAGCCCCTGTCCCCTCCGTGGAGGTGTCGTCGTCTCTACGTTTCCCCAGCTTGATTTCCAAGCTTGCAAAGGAAAGCTTGTGCTCACAGTTGCTGGGATTCGGCTGCCCACAGGTGACAGAGCTGATCAGTTTTGGTTTGTCAGAAACCAAAATAGTAATAGTAGTAGAGGCTGGGTTGGTCTTGGGCAAGCAGGGTCTCGAAAACCCAAGAAGTGGGAAGTAGAGCTTTGTCTTCGAGCACTGTTAAGTCACACATATATCTGACAACTGGGGATAGTGTTTGTCGAGACCTTCTGGGACAGCAGTGTCCCTGTCCACACTTCCTAGGGTGTTTCATTTCAAGGACATCTGTTAACACTCTGTCAGGCAAATGGGTGGAGGAGGATGCAGTATGCACAAAGCTCCTGGCCTTGGAGGAGCTGCTTTGGTGGGGAAGGGACCACCTCCAACTGCTGGGGATGGGAAGGCTGGAGAGATGTCTGAAAATGGAGCAGGCTGAGACTGGCTTGCAAAAGCCAAACTATCCTCCCAGGAGTATTTAGTTAGTAACTGGCAGTGGCCATTATGCCCTCAGGCTGCTGGAGGGCACTAGCAAAACCTTGCCACTGCCACAGCAAAGGAAGGTTTACATCTCCCTGCGTTAAGGAGCATGGAGTGAGCTAGTGGAGCTGCTCACGCAGGGAAGAGCAGGGGGCATTAGCTGGCTCGTTGGAGGATGAGGAAGTAGGACACGTACCTCTCAGGTGACTTCCCCAGAGCCAAACAGCCCAGCACTCAACACGCTCCGTCTCCCAAAACAACAGATGTCCAGGACAGATCAGGGCAGAGAATGGATTTTTCAGATCTGGCAGCCGAACAGCCACGTGCCTGTGCCAAGCTGAGAGGGAGAGGCCGATGTCGTTGTGGGAGGAAGTAATTTGCACAACCCTGAAGCATTTTGTTCAGCCCAGAATGAAACAACCTCTTCCATCTTCCAGTTATTTTACTGGTGTTTTTTAGGTCATCCTCTGAAAGAAGCATAAGGGGGAAAAATGAAATGTTTCAGCCAGTTTGATTTCAGAAATGTCCGTGCAAACCAGGCCTCCCTCACTGTAGGTATTGCAATCAAAACTCTTTGCCAAATAGGAGCTGTTGGTAACCATAGCTCAGCTTTGCCCCAGGCGTGGCTGGTTCTGTGGCTCCAGTTCGGACTCTGCCTGCACCCACCTGGCTCCATGCTGGCCAGCTGTGCTGCCTGACAGCCTCAGTCTGTCCTGACACACGTGCCAGTGCTGCTGGAGCCAGCAGCAGTGAGAGCCACTGGTGCCAGGGCTGAGCCTGGCCAGCTTCACCTGCAAACACCAACCAAAACCTGTTGTGCTGCGGGGAGGGACCACGATCTTCAGCTCTCATCTCCAGATGGGCATGCACGAGAGGTCCATGTTGGAAGGCCAAGGTGACGGTGAGAGAGAACACACCAGGCTGCTGCTCTGTGGCAATGTCACGGCGTCTCTTGCTGATGGCGTCCCACGGGGTGCTGGACTCCCCTTGCCACCGTGATAATGGGTGAAACGGCGGCCTGTGACCCTCCCTGCTAGAGGCTGGCTTGAATAAGCGATGACACAAAGTACGTGCACGTCCCTTGGAAGACTCTTCTAGCCTTCTGGGGACAGGACTAAGAAATCTCTGCCCCAGCCACCCCAGAGGCTTGGCCGGGAAAGCAGACGCCCCTGGTTTGAGGGGGGCCAGGG